AGACTAAAATAGTCAATAAGATAAAATGTCACATCCCCATTATAATTTTACTTTTTTCCTCACAAACATTACATTCAGCTATAAAAGAAATCTAACTATCTTCCCAAATATAAAATTTTTAGCCTACTAAAATAGCCAAAAATTAAAATAGTCTATTAAAATTGCTAACTTCCCAAATGAGGCCATTGTGTATGTATGTATGTATTTTATTTATTTATTTATTTTTTGTTGAGATCGGATGTGATTATTGGGTGTTTTGGGAACTTGGCTAAAAGTTAAAATTGGCTTTAATCTATTTTGAGTCACATCACCTCTTTTCTTTTTTATACATTTTAAAAAAAAGTAAAAATATTAAAAAATTAAATTTTAACCAATTTTTCCAAATAAGCTTATTTATTATTAAACTTTCTTTTTGACAAGAGAACTTCATTTCATTCCATGGGCAATCATACAAAGGAGAAAAAGAAAATTTTTATAATCTGACACACATATAAAGATATAATCATTATGCACCAAACTTATTATTTTCATAATCTACTTTTACACACTAGATATTATGATCAATATGTTAGATATAAAATGAATCACAAAAAAATTAGAGGGATTGAAAGAGGGAAGAGAAATTCTCAACTCTCAAATATTTGGATTCCACTTATTTAAAACACATAGGTACATGAGTTATTTATAGTCTGTAATGAACAAGCCAAGAGACCAATACATCTTTTATATCCAATGTACTATACATGAATCTTCCTAGATACATTCATCCTAGGAATACACGAATCTCAAAAATACATGAACTTTGACAATATATGAATAAAATATAAATAGATAATTCCAGAAAATGTGTGTAACTACTAGGATTCTAGAGTGAGACAAAGATTTTGGTTGACTAGAATCGCCTTTTAGATCGAGGACTGTCCCCCATAGGTTTCCAATGCCATGTAGTGTATTCATATTCCATAGGTTTAAAGGTATACCCTGGCACCTCAGCCACACGCATCTCTCCTGAACAAGTTGGACACCTGGCCTCCATTCCAACACGAACTGGCTCTAATCTTTAAACCATTCCTTAATGTTATGAATATTGGATTTCAACTCCGCTTGGGAAGTAAAGGTCAAAACTGCATCACGGCCTCCTCCCTCTCTGACCATAACTTGTGATAGCCCATTCCTCTTCAGAACATCTCTAATGCTACTGATGGAGTATTCTGAATTGAGTCGGATAATTACACTTTCATATAGCCAGCCATGACCATTTTTATTGATATTGATGGTTAAGCTCGCTGACCCAGCTGTGTTGGTTGGAGCGCCTTGTAGAACCTCTACGTAAGATCTGTGACCAACAAAAGGTATTTTACCCTTTCTTCTGAGTGCTTCAGCAACACCTCGGACGGGTTGGGGCCTTCCTCTGCTGTGCGCATCCATGGTGCGCCTGACATAGGTGGCATGCTTGACTTTGAGTACTCTGTCATCTACCAAAAGTCCATTAGCTTTCTGGACTACAATATCTGATGCTACATGACAGTCAAACCGCACAAACCCAAATCTAGAGTTTGTCATTTTCCTTATTTTGGAAGGGATGAAGACATCTTTTACTATGCCGAACTTTGAAAAAAGTTTGAACAGAGATTTTGCGTCCATAGAACTTGGAATATAATCCACAAATACAGTAAATAGGCCATTCCTAACTTTGTTGCTCCGAAAAGACCCTCCTCTTCGTTGATGCACAATCGGGATCCAACTGCCATTCCCTCCTCTCCGTTCAGCCATCATCTAAGGTGTCATATTTTTTTTCAATTGATATTACTCTTACTATTTCACGAATGTTTTGATTTTTAATTTTAATTTTCTTAATCTTATTACACTTCTATCCAACTCTTTTTATCTAAGCAATACTCATTTTATAGGCGTGCTATTGCCCAGTTTTTCAATTTTTAGTGCATCGCTAACTTTGTAATTGTTTTATTGTGAATTCAAAATTAACTTGTAGAAATAAATATATAATACATATAAAAGATGAAATTTTATAAATTGATTGATTTATTTACATATATACTATCGAATATAGCGGTTGGAATAATACATCGACTTTATGTATTGATTGTTTATGTATATGATCTATGTTTATATACATTGTGTGTGTGGGAGGAGATAGGGGATGTACTCCACGGCTTAGGGGAAGATAGGGGATGGACCTCTAAGCCGGGTTGTGTGTGACATTGATACAGCACTACAATGTGTATCAAGTGTTGATTATGGAAGTGTTTAGATTGATTTGATATAGTACTAAAATATATATCGTTATCAATTGTGAAGTATAGAAGTGTTTCTATGTTATGTTGATACAGCACTAAAATGTGTATCGTTCGTATAGTATGGGAGTGGTTTATGTGTTATTGATACAGCATTAAAATGTGTATCCATCATGAATTTTGAAAGTGTTTTTAAGATGAGTCTTATTCTCATTGAGTTATTTGACTAAGTGTTGAGCCTTGTTTTCAAACTCAAGGTTGAAAAAGAAATGAGAAATGAAGTGTAACATGGACTTAAATGTCATGAAACTAAAATGTGATATGAGTGAGTGTATCGGTGTTGACCATCTATCAACTGCTAAACTTTTGGTCATTGTTCATAGCTGGTTTAGTGTATTTCTTCTGGGCAGTGGCTCACCCTTTATGGGAAATCATTTTCCGGTACAGGTAGCATGCCACCTCCAAGGACATAGCTTGGGAGACTAGAGGCAGACAGATTCCTTTTGTTGTTTGCTTTCTTTTGACGTATTACGTGTAAATTCAAGCCAAGGGCTTTATATGTATTGAGTTAGTACTCTTCTTTTTGTAACCAAGTGCTAACTTGGAAAGCTGTAAGCCCGTAGGGCACTTGCTTTTGTAGTTAACATGTAATACTTTTGTAAGAACTACTCTGATTAATGGAAAGATGGTTGATTTCTTTTATGTCAATGCATGTCTAAAGTGATGGGTTTTACGTATTATTTTGAGGGCATGACAGATAGTTTACACAAATCTACATTACTTGTTACCTCTTTTCTCTTCTCTATCCTATTGGATCTTATTTGATTCTTATGATGATTTTTGTGACATGAATAATTTTATAAATTAACAAAATTTAAAGAGACAAAAAAGAAACATGTGATATTTGTTTCGTTTGCCCATCAAGTGATATGAAATTAAGCTTAAGAGGTTGTTTGGGATACTGATAAAATAAAATAAAATCAAAAATCAAAAAATCATTAAAAAAGTTTTAAAAATCATATAAAAAAGTTAAAGATTTATTTCTTTCTTTTTGTACTTCTTTTTTTAAAAATTCAAAAAATTATTCTTAAACACTTTATTTTTTTCACCTCATAATTTAACAAAATTGCTAAAAAACCATTTCCTTAACAAGCCCTAAGTATAAATGCATATATTTATTTTGTTCTACTCCGATAAGAGCGTCTCAAACTTTTACTTAGATTTTCCATCAAATTTAAATTTGTTGAAATACGCACACTTTTGTTACTCCAACCACGACATCAAACTAATATCAAATGAAAGGAAAATAAAAAATTTCATCAAATTGAGGGAGGCTTCATCGTTTATCAAATTTTTACAGATAGTCGTTACTTTTGCAGAGACTTCACCATACACCGTGTAACGCCCTCAAAATAACAACATTAACCCATCAAATAAGACATGCATTAACTCAATATACAAAGTAAAGAGGATGCAAACAAGATAATAAACAACTACCAACATCCACGGACACATGTCCGGATCACTATACAACAAGGGTAAACCCGGGATCGCTATACACCGAATGACCGATTGATTGTCCTCCCGATCAACTGATTGTTTGATGAAAATTTAAATAAGTTGGACGACCTCTTGGTCAACCAGTTGTTTGATAAAAATTAAAAAATTAGCACTGGAAGACATAGTATCATATGAAACTTTTCATTAATTTTTTATTCAAATTTAATATTAAATTTTTTTTGAATAAGCGTTAGAGATACTCTAATAGCTGTCTAATTGTCAAGCACATGATCTAGGTGCCCCGTATGAAGATTATTCAAATTATTAGGATAATTATTCAAATTATTCATATTGTAAATAATTCAAATTATTCAAATTATGGAAATTAGGATAGACTCCGCGAATCACTCCTCCCTCCATATTGTAAATAATTCAAATTAGGAAAAATATTCAAATTATTACGATAATTATTCAAATTATGGAAATTATTCAAATTCTTCATAATGTAAATTATTCAAATTATTCAAATATTATTCAAATTATTCATATTGTAAAAAATTCAAATTGTGGAAATTATGGAAATAAGCATATAAGGATATATTGCCGTTCGGAAATTAGGAAGGAAGGAATGAATGAAACTTCCATAGAAGAGAGGGAAAGCATGTTCGAAGAAAATAAGGAATGTAAGAAACATACTATTTACTACTGATGAGAGAGAGGGAGAGAGTATATTCATGTTCAAATGTGTCTCTCGCACTCAGCCATCACTGTTTGAAATAAAATCTCCCTTGTCTTCTTTGATCCCTTGTCCCTCTGTCTATCCATATATATTAATCACTTTTAGTTCAGCCATGCCACACAGTCTCTCTCTCTCTCTCTCACGATAGTTTTTGCAGCCATTCACATAGACTCTCTATCTCTCTCTCTCACGACAGTTTTCGCAGCCAATCACACTATCTCTCTCTCTCTCTCGCTCAGTGTGTGTGTGTGTGTGTGTGTGTGTCTCAAAATGACAGAGTCACAGAATAAGGTTTTTTCCGCCTTTTGGTACTCCAACATCCTCCGTCGCCTCTTCTGCACCGACAGCAGAAAGAAAGATCAGAAGGAAAAAAGTTAGAGTTATGATTTTTGATCTTCATCATTTTGATCTTCACAGTTTGAGTCCTCATCAACCAATGTCTGTGTCTTTGGCATTCACAATTGAAGCCATGAAGTTGTTGGAGGAAGAGAAGTTTCTTCAGTTGAATAAGTAAATTCAGTAATTTTCTCTATATTTCTCTATCCCCCCTTCTTCTTCTTCTCTCTCTAATCTTTGTCTCATTGAATTTCTACAGGAAAGAAAAGGACCCGTTGAAACCGAAGCAACCCATGTCTGCGTTTTTCATGTTCAGAAATGAGCGAAGAACAGAGAGAAAGAGTGGCTGGGACGTAATTGAAAAATGGAATAACATGACAGAGAAACAAAAGAAGCCATATGAAAAGGTTCAATTAACTCTGTCTTTCTCTATCAATCTCTGTCTCTCTCTTATTGTCTCTGCAACATCAATTTCATATTTTGGGAACTTGCAGATTGCAAAAGAAAACATGGAAAAGTATTTGGAAGAAATGAAATTACCATATAAAATTGTCTATATTTTTTTTTATCGTCATATGACATTGTCTATATGATAATTAATCTCGACAAATAAGAAAAATCACAACACATAGTCATCATTTGGCTTTTAATTATCTAACAATGGTATAAATCTACACATTTCAGTCATACAATATTTTACTACATGATTAATTTAGAATATCACATAAATAATATTACATAATGTTTTGAAATTACTAAATAATTACGCTATTATCATGGTTTTTCTACCAAACTAGATGTTAGGATTGAAATTTCAACACTTCTTTAAAAAATAAAAAGAAAAAGTAGCATTATATAAATGAATGTAAATCATCATGATGGTTTACACGAATCTACATTACTTGTTACCTCTTTTCTCTTCTCTATCCTATTGGATCTTATTTGATTCTTATGATGATTTTTGTGACACGAATAATTTTATAAATTCACAAATTTTAAAGAGACAAAAAAGAAACATGTGATATTTGTTTCGTTTACCCACCAAGTGATATGAAATTAAGCTTAAGAGGTTGTTTGGGAGACTGATCAAATAAAATAAAATCAAAAATCAAAAAATCATTAAAAAAGTTTTAAAAAATCATATAAAAAGTTTAAAGATTCATTTCTTTGTTTTGGTACTTCTTTTTTTGAAATTCAAAAAATTATTCTTAAACACTTTATTTTTTTCACCTCATAATTTAACAAAATTACTAAAAAACCATTTCCTTAACAATCCCTAAGTATAAATGCATATATTTATTTTTTTCTACTCCGATAAGAGCGTCTCAAACTTTTACTTAGATTTTCCATCAAATTTAAATTTGTTAAAATACGCACACTTTTGTTGCTCCAACCATGACATCAAACCCATATCAAATGAAAGGAAAATAAAAAATTTCATCAAATTGAGGGAGGCTTCATCGTTTACCAAATTTTTATAGATAGCCGTTACTTTTGCTGAGACTTCACCATACACCAGATGACCGATTGATTGTCCTCCCAATCAACTCATTGTTTGATGAAAATTTACATAAGTCGGATGACCTCTTGGTCAACCAGTTATTTGATAAAAATTAAAAAATTAGCATTGGAACACATAGTATCATATGAAACTTTTCATTAATTTTTTATTCAAATTTAATATTATATTTTTTTTTGAGTAAGCATTAGAGATACTCTAATAGCTGTCTAATTGTCTAACACAAGATCTGGGTGCCCATTATGAAAATTATTCAAATTATTAGGATAATTATTCAAATTATGGAAATTATTCAAATTATTCATATTGTAAATAATTCAAATTATGGAAATTAGGATAGACTCCGCGAATCACACCTCCCTCCAAATTGTAAATAATTCAAATTCGAAAAAATATTCAAATTATTAGGAAAATTATTGAAATTATGGAAATTATTCAAGTTATTCATATTGTAAATTATTCAAATTAGTCAAATATTATTCAAATTATTCATATTGTAAATAATTCAAAATATGAAAATTATAGAAATAAGCATATAAGGATATATTGCCGTTTGGAAATTAGGAAGGAAGGAATGAATGAAACTTCCATAGAAGAGAGGGAAAGCGTGTTCGAAGAAAATATGGAATGTAAGAATCATACTATTTACTGATGGAGAGAGGAAGAGAGTATATTCATGTTCAAATGTGTCTCTCGCCCTCAGCCATCACTGTTTGAAAAAAAAATCTCCCTGGCCATTATTGATCCCTTGTCCCCTCTGTCTATCCATATATATTAATCACTTTTAGTTCAGCCATTCCATACAGTCTCTCTCTCTCTCTCTCTCTCTCTCTCTCTCTCTCTCTCTTTCGCGACAGTTTTTGCGGCCATTCACACAGTCTCTCTATCTCTCTCTCTCACGACAGTTTTCGCAGCCATTCGCACAGTCTCTGTGTGTGTATGTGGTGTGTCTCAAAATGATAGAGTCACCGAATAAGGTTTTTTCCGCCTTTTTACTCTGACATTCTCCGCCGTCTCTTCCGCACCGACAATAGAAAGGAAGATCAGAAGGAAAAAAGTTGGAGTTATGATTTTTGATCTTCATCATTTTGATCTTCACAGTTTGAGTCCTCATCAATCAATGTCTGCGTCTTTGGCATTCACAACTGAAGCCATGAAGTTGTTGGAGGAAGTGCAGTTTCTTGACTTGAATAAGTAAATTCGGTAATTTTCTCTATATTTCTCTCTCGCCCCCTTCTTCTTCTTCCCTATCTAATCTTTGTCTCATTGAATTTCTACAGGAAATAAAAGGACCCGTTGAAACCGAAGCAACCCATGTCTGCGTTTTTCATGTTCAGAAATGAGCGAAGAGCAGAGAGCAAGAGTGGCTGGGAGGTAATTGAAAAATGGAATAACATGACAGAGAAACAGAAGAAGCCTTATGAAAAGGTTCAATTAACTCTGTCTTTCTCTATCAATCTCTCTCTCTCTCTCTCTCTCTTATTGCCTCTGCAACATCAATTTCATATTTTGGGAACTTGCAGATTGCAAAACAAAACATGGAAAAGTATTTGGAAGAAATGAAATTACCATATAAAATTGTCTATATATTTTTTTATCGTCATATGACATTATCTATATGATAATTAACCTCGACAAATAAGAAAAATCACAACACAGTTATAGCGATCCCGGGTTTACCCTTGTTGTACAGTGATCCGGACATGTGTCCGTGGATGTTGGTAAGTTGTTTTTATCTTTGTGTTGGCATCCTCTTTACTTGTATATTGAGTTATAGGATGTGTTGGGCGGTTTTTGTTACAGGTTGGTTGTGTTTTGGGAGCCTAGTGCTCTGCCCAGATTTTTTGGAATCCTTCGCTCGAGCGGAGGAGTTGGTCGCTCGAGCGAGAGTTGAGTTCGTGTCTGGTGGATCGAGCCAGAGTGGCTTCGCTCGATGCGAGCGATTGCGTTAGTTCTGGACCTGAGAGTTGCATTTCTTGGCTCGAGCGAGTTTTCTTCGCTCGAGCGGTCTGGTTTGTTCTTCGCTCGAGCGAGAGGTCTGTCCGCTCGAGCGTGCTTCTAAGTTGCAAACCTGAGGGTTTGAGTTGTTAGCTCGAGCGAGCATTTCTTTCGCTCGAGCGCACTTCTGAGTTTTTGGCTCGAGCGAGAACTTCTTGGCTTGAGCGAGAGTTTTCTGTGTCTGGTCGCTCGACGGCACAAAGGCTTCGCTCGAGCGAGCGTGTTTTTATACCAGCGGACAGTAGCTTTTTTGACATCAGTTTTTCACTTCCCTTTTTCTTTCAAACCATAGATCCGAGACTATTCTCTCTCTAAACCTACACTCTCTCTAAGATTTGATCTCCCTAGAGTGTGAATCTAGCCCTAGGGCCTTTGTTAAAAAAGATAGAGGGCATTGAGAGCTTCGACTTAATCTGAAAAAGTTTGGATTTGGAGCACGTTGATCGTTTGAGTCTTCATCTCCTTTTTTGGCTCAACTTCGTAGGTAGGGATATCCTACTCCTCTCTATGGGTTTTGTCTTTAAATTTTAGTATTTTGAGATGTTGGGTGGTTTTGGTAATTTGGTGAAAGTTCGGGGCTTTTGTGCAATTTTACAAAAGTTGGGGTTTTATTCATAATAAACCTAGATGCATGTTTGGCATAGAGAAATGAAATAAATGTTGAATCATTGAGAAATGGGACCTAAGGGTCACAATGTTAATTATGGATAATGACCTAATTACAATGTTTGATTAATTGGGATAATTAATTGTGAGAAATAGGGAAATGAAATGTTGATTGAATATCCATTATGCAATTTATTTTCTGTTTAGAGATAACTGCTTTGGGCTATCGGTGGAGGATAGTCGTGATTGTTGTAGACAATGCATGATGATTAGGCAACGAGAAAAACTAATCAATGGAATGTGTCATGGAATTTGACGGTTGATAGAATACATTAACTGTATGTATTGAGTGATTGTATATAGAACCAATGTGTTTGTTATACGTTATGTGTAGAGGAGGAAGATGGGGATGTACTCCGCTGTTTAGGGGAAGATGGGGGATGTACCTCTAAACCGGATAGTATTGGAGAAGATAGGGGATGAACTCCGTAGATACAGCTCATATGCTTGTCTAAAGAAGTGAAGATAGAGCTTATATGCTTATCTTTGTGAAGTGTGGATATAGCTTTATGCTTATCTGTGAATGTGGATATCGTTGTTTATACATATCTGTTGAGAATGTGGGTATAGCTTATATGCTTTATCTGTGAATGTGGGGTATAGTTTTTAATACATATCTGTTGAGATGATGATAGAGCTAATATGCTTATCTGTTGAAAAAGGGAAAATGAAAAGTAACTTGGACTCATAAGTCGTATGTCATAAATATGTGATTTATGTGAATGTATTCAGTGTTGGCCATTATCAATTGCTTAAATCTTTAGTCATTGTTCACTGGTTGGTTTAGTGTATTTCTACTGGGCTGTGGCTCACCCTATATGGGATCATATTTTCAGGGGTACAGGTAGCTATGCCACCTTCCAAGGACATAGCTTGTGGAGGCTAGAGATGCGGACATGACTTTTGTCGTTTTACTTTTTGATGTATTACATGTAAATTCAAGCCAAGGGCTTAAGTGTGCTAACGAGTTAGTACCTCTTTTGTTGTAACCAGTGTTACTTGGAAAGCTTAAGCCCCATAGGGCATTTGCTTTTGTTGTTAACATGTAAATACTTATGTAATGCGAATTCGATAAATGGAAGAATGTGGAACTTTTACAAACAATGCAATGTCTTATTATG